GGATGAGTGCCTGGCCACTGTGTCTATCTGGATGAGGAGGAACAGGCTGAAGATCAATCCCGACAAGACAGAGGTCCTCCTGGTCGATCGCAAACCTGACTGGGGTATAGGGTGGCAACTTGTGTTGGACGGGGTTACACTCCCCCTGAAGCCACAGGTCCGCAGTTTGGGAGTCCTCCTGATTCATCACTTACGCTTGAGGCTCAGGCGTCGGCGGTGTCTGGGAGGGCTTTTGCACAATTGAGACTCGTGCGCCAACTGCGACCGTACCTCGCGAAGGCTGATCTGGCCGGGGTGGTCCATGCCTTGGTCACCTCTAGGTTGGATTACTGCAATGCGCTCTACGTAGGGCTGCCCTTGAAAACGGCTCGGAAATTCCAACTGGTCCAACGGGCAGCAGCCAGGATGTTAACTGGCGCTCCTTACAGAGAGAGGTCAACCCTCCTGTTGACCTCTCTCTGTAAGAAGCCCCGGTTAACATCCTGGCTGCTGCACGTTGGACCAGTTGGAATTTCTGAGCCGTTTTCAAGGGCAACCGTTTTCAAGCCATTTTCAAGGAGCTCCACTGGCTGCTGTTTATCTTCCGAACCCAATTTAAGGTACAGGTGCTTACCTACAAAGCCCTAAACGGTTTGGGACCACCCTATCTGCGTGACCGCATCTCCGTCTATGAACCCACACGATCGCTTCAGTCATCTGGGGTGGCCCTGCTCGTAGTCCCGCCCGCGTCACAAGCGCATTTGGTGGGGACCCGAGACAGGGCCTTCTCTGTGGCGGCTCCCCGACTCTGGAACGCCCTCCCAAAAGATCTCAGACAGGCCCCTACATTGGCAGTCTTCAGAAGGAATTTGAAGACCTGGCTATTCCGATGTGCCTTCTCAGATTAGGAACCTCCAATACCAAGTCCTAGAAGCACTTTATTAGAATTAAGATTGCCGCACTCTGCACACTGCACTTACTTATAATCCTGCATACCTCCTGCCACATCAGCACTTTTTAATCTTGTACCCATTAATCTGGCCTGGCCCAGTTTTATAATGTCTTGATGTATTGTTTTATTGTTGCTGTTTATACTGCTTAACTGTTTTATTTTGCTTTGGTATTGTATTGTTGTATTGTGTTTGAGGCCTTGGCATTTGTAAGCCGCATCGAGTCCTTCGGGAGATGCTAGCGGGGTACAAATAAAGTATATAATAATAATAATAATACCTATATGATCCTTACTCAAAATCTTGTTTTTCTATGAAAGTGTTGATAGGACGTGTTCTGCCTGACATTTGCTATTTGATCACAAGATAAGGTCATGCAAACCGCAGTAATGAATTGGCTTGCTGGATAATGCATACGTGGGATGAAGTATGAACATGTCACCTGAGGATAGTGCATACATGGAACAAACTATGGACACTCTCTCCCTCTAACCCAGTGGACACTTCACCTGACATGATGAATAATAACTTATATAACTTTACAAGACAACTACGGATGTCCAAAAGGATTGTAATAATCAGCAAGTTCCATTGTTAGCTCTCTGCGCATGCTTGTGTAAAACTCTCTAAATTGGAAAGCCAGCACAGGAAAGGTGTGGCGGTGCATTTTCCGGGCATTAGCTAACTGTCACCTGCTCTTGGCCAAAAGTAAACTATCTTGAAGACAACTTGTGTTGTCAGTCTGCTTTCTTCACCCGCATCCAAACGAAATTCTGCAACATCATGATGGACTGAACATGAACTGAGTGGGAGGGGGACATGAGAGATTGTTCTTTCAACATGACTGATCAAGTGTAGACTAAGTTAAGAAGTAAGTTGTGGACTACGTTGGAGCCCCCAGTGGTGCAGTGGGTTAAACATGAACTAAGTTGACGAATAACAAAGAAATAACTCCCTGATACCAGAACCAAGATATGGAAGGAACAATGAGATTACATGAAATGGAACGCAATGTTTATTGCCATAGAAGTCATAGACTAAACTTGCTCCTAAATAATATAAAAGAAGAGCTTCTTCTGATCTGGCTGTTGCTGTCAAATGAAGCACTGCATCAGCATCCCCTCACTTCTGCAAAGGAAACTGATCAGTCCTTTGTGAGAAGATTGGTGAGTGTGAGTGAATGTGTGTGAGCATGGTTCCGCTTGGTGCCAAGGCAATGTATGATTTTAAATGCTGAATAAAAGTTACATGCATAGTGTTTAAACCCAGATCTGGTGTCACTGATATATTCTCCAGAGCTATAGTCTCAAGTGTGCAGATTATGCAGTTTCTCCTCTTCTACAAAGAAAGGACACAAACTGTGTATTTGTGACAACTTTTATAACACACTCACACTTGAACTGAGTGTCACTAGATGAATGGGGCTCATTAATTGGGGTTTTCAAAGTGCTCCTGAGTGGGAAATGTAGAAGTAGGCATAAAGAACCCAGATCCACACAGGTAATTAAGATTCATTACATGGTTTATTGATATAGCATGTTAAATTCAGGAACATGAAAGAAATAAAAGTAATGTGAATTTCAGTGATTACAGGAGTTGTTTTCATTGTGTGCCTTTAAGAAATTCCTAATTTATGGTAAGGTTCAGGAGAACCCGTCATGGAGAATTAGGGTTTCCATGGCCAAAAGGAGCCCTGGTCATGGTCCTCTCCTTCTCCTGCTTATTTGTTTCCCACATCTCCTCATGGCTTCAGGTGGTGTAGAACACAGTTAAAGCATTGTATTATAAAACACATATCATGAAATACAAATATTAAAAATTACCATAAAATGCATGTAATTAAAACGCATAGTACAAACATGTTTTTCTTAACTTGAAATTCTAATGAGCTTACAACATTTTCTGTGATTAAGTAGACTTTTCCTTCGGCATGACTTGCTTTGGCCTCACAATCATTTTCTGACCTTTCCTTTTCAAAGGAAAAATTAAGAAACTGAAGTCAAGCTTGATGTGAGCCTTTGTTTCTTTTTTCTAAGCTAATACTCACTGCAACATTCCCTGGACAGAGCTATCCCTTATACTATAAAGGGCAAAGCTTTGGAAAATTATCCTTTTAAGACAATCATTTCCAGAAACTGGAAGATTTGGGGAGCTATAATCTGAAACATAACTTTTTTATGCTAGGCTAAAAGAACAGATGTATCTGAAGGCTATTGCTATGGCATTCCAGAATCACCAGTTACCCTGGAAATGACTCTGAATCCTTTTGAACTGTATGGAATTAGTGCATCCTATGTTTTCATATAGTTTTTGATGCCCGTTGTATAAAAATATACTGTGAATAAAGCAGAGTTAAAAACCTTTTTAAAAAAGCATAGTACAAGGATTAAAATGCAATACTAATAGAGTGTAAATTGAACATTCATAATATAAAATTGACTGGGTACGTCTGACTGAAGAGAGCTCAAATTAATCCCAAAACAGTACATTAAAAAAAAAACTCAACAGAATGTTTTGAAGAAGCCAGAAAATCCATTGCAGCCAATCAGAGAATATCCCATACAGGGCTCAAAATGATCCCATTGACTCCAGTTCTAACTTCAACACTTCTATTTCTCCACTGTACAAATCCGACTTCTCCATAAATGGCAAATGCATGGTAATAAGACATTCACGGCAGTGGAATGAGAGCACAAGGTGTTTCATTCCCACCACGTCAATCACTAATGTGCTTCGAAAGACAAAAAATGTAAGATTTATTTATTTGATGAACATTTCTGAAGAAGGAAACTTCCCTAACTTCCTAAGACAGTACATATGTAATAAACAAGACATTTATTAATTTTTAAAAAATTGCACACACACACACACACACACACACACAATGATATATGATATTTATTCACTGTATATTGTTATGCTGATAACAATTTGGAAGCTTTTAAACAGAGGCTGGATGGCCATCTGTCAGGGGTGATTTGAATGCAATATTCCTGCTTCTTGGCAGGGGGTTGGACTGGATGGCCCATGAGGTCTCTTCCAACTCTTTGATTCTATGATTCTATGATTCTATTTCCATGGACTCTCACTGCACATGACATTCCTTCTGCCTCTGGTTCCACCGTACTGGGAGACAGACCTTGGTCCCTGGAACTGGCCGGTGAAGAGGGCTGCTCAAGGCTGCTGCTCTCTCCTCCTCCTCCTCCTCCTCCTGATGGTCTTCCTCCTTCTCCTGCATCCAGCCTCAGCCACAATCCCCACCAAGGCAAGGAAGGCCAAGACCAAGGCAGCCACTCCCAGGTGAATGCTGATCTCAAGGGAGGAATCAACAGCTGGCAACAAAGATGGAAGACTAGCTGAACCATTGACTGCAACGTGAAGTTGCTATTAGTGGATCCCTAACTTGCAAGCCATTTCTTCTGCTGTGGTGTTCATTTGGTTCTAGCATTTCAAAACGCAAACTGAACAAACTTTCAGCTCTGTAGTAATATGTAGTAATATAATTCTATGTCAGCAGCATAATAAAAGGGATAAGGCTTGCTAACCGCTCCAAACTCTGCACCAAGGGACTGAAGGATCTCTTGCTGGTGCAATTTGTTAAACCCGTGTGCTGGCAGGACTGCTGACCAAAAGATTGGCGGTTCAAATCTGGGGAGTCAGGGTGAGCTCCCGACTGTCAGCTCCAGCTTCCCACACAGGAACATGAGAGAAGCCTCCCACAGGATGGTTACACACCCCAGTGTCCCCTGGCCGACATCCTTGCAGATGGCCAATTCTCTTACACCTGAAGTGATTTGCAGTTTCTCGAGTCGCTCCTGACACAGAAAAAAAAAACCCAAGGGAAGGATGTCTGCTCTGTTGGTATAGAGATTGAAGAGATTTGACATCACTTATTCTAGTCCTTGATTTCTCATAATCTCAGCAAGAGATTCTTGGTACAAATTTTGGCCTCCCAAATGTTGAGAGCATTCGAAGAAACAATGTTGGTTGCTATCAGCTATGCTAATTTTAGAGACCATATGGAAACAAGTGTGATGCTAAGAAAAACATGGGAAGGTAGAAGAACAAGTGCTATGGGCTTGTCGTGGCCTTTGAGGCCGGGTACATCTTATTTTTGTCTTTCATTTCTTGAAAGATAAAAGACATAGAACACATGTTTAAGGTATAAAGATTTTGCAGCTGGCTGACAAAAAACTAATATCTGGAATGGGCTTTGGGGGGGATCCTTTCCTCTGTGGGAAAACAATACTAATAATGAAGTCTGGAAACACCTATTCCATATTTCTGACATAAATGGTGGGTTACAATATTTTCTATAATTTTTGTGACTTAGAGGAATCAAGCCATCTAGATGGCACTCAAAACCCTTTTCCAGAACAGCTGATGGTTCTAGAAGAGAGGGACTCTTGTCCTGACCATGATCATTTTGGGGAGGCATGAACTTGATCTAGGTTTCAGGAAATGAAACGTGTGAAAGGCATGTACCTGAACACTCCACGCTGGCATCCTGGTTGTGGCTGCAACTGTGCGCTCCCCAGCCTCCCTTCTGGCACTCCTTCAGGGATGCTTCTTCTCCTGTACAGTTGACGCTCTCCAGCCAAACGGGGCCCGATCCTTGGCCATAGTGTGCTCCACCTAATGCTTTGGGGGCATCTCCACAGCCCAGCTGCCTGCAGACCACTTGGGCATCTTGTAAATCCCAGCCAGCATCACAAATGGTCCCCCACGTGTCATTGTGAAAGACTTCAACCCTCCCTGAGCAGGGACTTGTGCCGTTCATCAAACGGAGATCTTTAAAAGAAAATGAATGGTGAGGAGAGAGTTATAAGCAAAAGTTTTGTTGTTAGAATCCACTAGACTATAAACACTGAATCCATTGATTTTACCTATATGTTGATTCATCATTCAACCAATGAACGGATCTACTCTAGCTGGGAATAACCAGCAGGATGCCAGTCATTGTGATGAATTGAATCAAACTGGTAAAATAGAAGAGTTTAGTATGAGGGTGCCTTGGTCCCAGACATGGCCACTCGATGGAACCATTGGAACTGAGGTCTSCTCTCAACCAAACCTGGAACACATGCCCATCATGACAACTTAAAACACTGGTGMGGTTGGGGGACAATGACGGGATGATGATGATGATGAGAGTTATGGCCCATCCACATCTGGAGGGCCATGTGTATCCAGCCACAGTGCCTTTGATATTCCATTTACAATAATGGTGGGGTTGGGGACAAAAGAAAGAGGATGATGGAAGCTGAAGTCCACCCAAATCTACAGAGCGCAAGGTCCAACCCAACCAGATCTGGCAGATGAGATTTCCAGCAGGAAAGATCTGGGATTGATGGGAGTTCAACCCACCCAGATCTGGGGYTGATGGGAATTCCATCTGGCCAGATCTGATGGGATTTGCAGCCAACCAGTTTTTGTTCATAAYGGAGTTGCAGCCTCAGRAGGTTTGGGGCTGATGGAAATTTGAACCTGTGACATACACAATTTTAAAAGGTCCCATTATACAGGTATACATTTTCTAATGGGAGCATTCATAAAACTATAAAGCTAATAGTGATTATTTGTAATAAATACCATACTGGCTTATGTTCCCGGCACTGCCAGCATGTTGTTGTTTATTCTTTCAGTTGCTTTCAGCATATCTAATGGTGTTTATTGACTTTTTTAAAGGAACTGTGGGAATCTGGTTAATTATCAAGACGTCTTCAGTTTCCGTCAGTTACCTGAGCACACAACACCAGCATCTTCTTCATGACGACACTCGTATAATGTATGCATTTTGTAAATGCACTTGCGGAGGGCATCCTCTGTCCCATTGCATTGTACTTCATTTATCCAGATGGGATCTTTTCCTTTTCCAAAGTGGGCTTCTTCAGGGGCTGACACAGCTCCTCCGCAGCCGAGTTCTCTGCACACGACTTGAGCATCTCTCAGGTCCCATCCATCATCACACACTGTTCCCCAGACCCAGTTGCGGAGCACTTCGACTCTCCCAGAACAACGGTTTGGACCACCCACCAATCTGGTTTCTATTGGTTTAGGAAAAAGGAAAAATGGTTTCATTGATTTGGAATCCAGTTCCTGGTTTTCTCTTGCATATCTTCCTACTTATGGAGCCATTCACAGTGAGTTTTCACAAATAGGAGGCTACTTGGCTATTGTGGAATCAATACAGAAACAAGGCTTTGCTATGTAGGTCACCCTATATCTTAATAATGCTCGTTAGTTGACATTGACTTAGCTGCCCTGAGTCCTGGTTGGGAAGGGGGAGGGATATAAAAAAAGTGTTGTTGTTGTTGTTGTTGTTATTGACTTCACCTACAAGGCATCCCTTCCCTCAAATTCATAACCAATAATCCACGTGTGAATTTGTGAAGCCCTTCTTCTAATTTCTGTAATTCTGTGAATGGTGGAAATTGAGCTGAGGAAATTGAGTGACAGGTTGGAGTGGAGGTGAGTTTTATAAATTGAGGCTAGCAGAGGAATCTCTCCACTCCTTCTATTTCTTTTCAATTCTTTTACAAATAGGCAAGATTTCCCCACTCCATCTACTTATGGGGAAACTGAAGTTTTATTCCCCTTGGTCAGTTCAGTTCTGTCTAGCTGGAGTTTATTTTCTTTTCCTTTTTTACTATGATTGATAGTACCCTCCAATAAAAGAGAGATGTAGTTCAACCCATGAAAACTATAGTTTTCCCAAGGACAGAAGGCCAGATGAATTGGGGTTAGACTATAGCAAATGCCACTGATGACCCTTCCAGCTGTTGCTCAGTCATGGAGAAACTCCTCTTCCTCATCCTCTTCTCTCCCCCTCTATAGATGGTTGGTACCAAGCACCTCACCAAGTCTATTCTCTATTTCTATTTTTATTATTGTTGTTGTTTAAACTCTATAAAATGAAATTGTGCGCCCAGCATGAGAGCCTGAGATAGGGCATAATCTGTGACGAGCGGAGCGCCATCAGCAGGGTTCCGTCCTGGGCCCGGTCCTGTTCAACATCTTTATTAATGACTTAGATGAAGGGTTAGAAGGCATGATCATCAAGTTTGCAGACGACACCAAATTGGGAGGGATAGCCAATACTCCAGAGGACAGGAGCAAGATTCAAAACAATCTTGACAGATTAGAGAGATGGGCCAAAACTAACAAAATGAAGTTCAACAGTGACAAATGCAAGATACTCCACTTAGGCAGAAAAAACAAAATGCAAAGATACAGAATGGGGGACAATGCCTGGCTCGAGAGCAGTACGTGTGAAAAAGATCTTGGAGTCCTCGTGGACAACAAGTTAAACATGAGCCAACAATGTGATGTGGCGGCAAAAAAAGCAATGGGATTTTGGCCTGCATCAATAGGAGCATAGTGTCTAGATCTAAGGAAGTCATGCTACCTCTCTATTCCGCTTTGGTTAGATCACACCTGGAATATTGTGTCCAATTCTGGGCACCACAATTCAAGAGAGATATTGACAAGCTGGAATGTGTCCAGAGGAGGGTGATTAAAATGATCAAGGGTCTGGAGAACAAGCCCTATGAGGAGCGGCTTAAGGAGCTGGGCATGTTTAGCCTGAAGAAGAGAAGGCTGAGAGGAGACATGATAGCCATGTATAAATATGTGAGAGGAAGCCACAGGGAGGAGGGAGCAAGCTTGTTTTCTGCTTCCCTGGAGACTAGGACGCAATGGAGCAATGGCTTCAAACTACAAGAGAGGAGATTCCATCTGAAAATGAGGAAGAACTTCCTGACTGTGAGAGCCGTTCAGCAGTGGAACTCTCTGCCCCGGAGTGTGGTGGAGGCTCCTTCTTTGGAAGCTTTTAAACAGAGGCTGGATGGCCACCTGACAGGGGTGATTTGAATGCAATATTCCTGCTTCTTGGCAGGGGGTTGGACTGGATGGCCCATGAGGTCTCTTCCAACTCTTTGATTCTATGTGACAAACAACCTTCCTTAACCTCAGTGGGAATCCTGATATCAGCTGCTCATCAGTTCACCTTTGGGGTTCCCAGCCACCTGCGAGACAAGGGTCCAAGGTGAAATTGTGATTATGATCCCATCACCCAAAATACTAAGTTTGGTTGATTAAAAAAATGTTTAAAACTTGTTTCGGATGTAGGGGGCACTGGTGGTTCAATTCTAAAGTCTCTTCTTTTTTATTTTCTTTTTTTGGTCTTGGTGTTATTTCTTTATTTTGCAATGGGGGTGTGAAAAATTATTTTAAGGAAGCTCCTTTAAAAAAATGTTTCCAGCATTTTCCAAAGTTTGCAGTGAAAGTGGGGGAACAATGTGATCTTTTTAGAAAGAAAGTTGGAAAAGAGGAATAGAGTAGAATAGAGAAAGAGGGGCGGGGAAGGGAGAAGGGAAATGAAAAAAAAAGAGGAGAAGATAGGAAGGGGGGAGGGGGGTGAAGAAAGGCTGCTGTCTTCCGGTTCACTCCGCAGGGAATGGAGCAGTTATGTCCTTTTGCTTTTCCACATTATAAATTTAATTACTTTTCTCTGTATCGGTTGGTATATCCTTCATCCGAAGAGTTGGATTTGCATTTCTTCCTGCATGAACCTTGTCAAAGGCTCCCAGTTCGTCTGTTTGTTTTTATTTTTGTTGTCAATGTGAAATGATTAGTTGTCCATACTCATGTAGTCTAGGATTTTATTTGTCCAATCCCCAATTTGTGGAGGGTCTTTTTCTTTCCATTTTTGAGCTATTGTTGTTCTTGCTGCAGCTGATATATAAAAAAACAACTTCTCTTCATTTTCACTTAAGCTTAAGTTTGTTATATTCAAGAGATAGAGTTCCGGTTTCAACTCAAATTTCACTCTGATGATTTTTTGTGTGTGTTTATGTATTACTAACCAATATTTTTCTTATTATTTTGCACCCCCACCACAGATGGAAATGGGTACCTAGCTCTTTTTCACATCTCCAGCATCTATTACTATAGTTTTGCTGAATTTTGAGATTTGTAGAGGTGTAAGGTACCAGCGAAAGTATATCTTATACCGTCCTTCAATAATATTTGTGGCTTTTGTAAATCTTAATTTCTTCTTCCAGACATTCTCCCAGTCTTTTAGCAGAATTGGATGGCCTATGTCGATGGCCCATTTCGTCATATTTTCTTTTACTCTCTCTTTTTTCCAAGTTCCATTCTAACAGACTCTGATAAAGAATTTTAATTAATTTTTATCTGTTTTCATTATTTTATCCCAGCATGATTCCTTAGTGTTAAACCCTACTTTTTGATCCTCTTTAAAGCATTCTTTTGTTTGCCAGTAATGAAACCAGCTCATTTTTCTGTCAAAGTCTCTTATTTCTTTTAGTGGTTTCAACTCCCAGACATTGTTGCACTTCTTTAATAATTTTGAGTAGGGGTGCCATTTCTCACAGGGGATTTCTTTGTTATGGACAAAGACAGTTGAGCAATGACCCCTCAAGAGCTAATACCCATGCCAACATAAAGGCAGATCAGATAGCACACCAACTCTTGAAGAATGGGAAACCCAACTTTGCCACCAAAATAGGAAAGAAACCAATAGCCAGACAACGAGAGATTGAGAACAACAACCTTCATGAACCCTTTACATCTACTGAATTGGACATGGCTCTCAATAAATGTAAAAATGGCAAAGCAGCTGGCCTGGATGATCTACGGATGGAACAAATCAAGAACTTTGGCCCAAAAGCAAGGTGCTGGCTGCTGGAGCTGATGAACAACTGCACTGCATCCTGTCAGATTCCCAAAATCTGGAGGAAAGCAAGAGTCATTGCCATCTTGGAGCCAGGCAAAGACTGCAATGACCCAAAAAGCTACAGACCAATCTCCCTGTTGTGCCACCTCTACAAAGTTCTGGAAAGACTTATTTTGCATAGAATTACAGAAAAAATAGAGCCATGTCTGATTCCACAGCAAGCTGGCTTCAGGAAAGGCAAAAGCTGCACATCACAAGTGTTGAACCTGACTCAGCACACAGAAGATGGCTTTGAAAGGCAGGAGATCACAGGAGCTGTCTTCATAGACCTGTCAGCAGATTATGATATTGTAAACCGCCACCACATCCTGAGAAAAATGTATAATATCACAAAGGACTACCATCTCACCCGCCTCATAGCTACAAAACAGGAGCTTTTTTATTGAGTTCCAGGGCCAGAGAAGCAGATGGCGGAAACAGAAGAACGGCCTGCCTTGGGGGAGTGTGCTTGCTCCATCCATGTTCAACATTTACACAAATGAACAGCCACTGCCAGAAGGGACAGAGAGTTTCATCTATGCTGATGATCGTGCCATTACTGCTCAAGCAGGGAGCTTTGAGATGGTTGAACAGAAGCTCTCGAAGCTCTAGGTGCTCTTACTGCCTATTACAGGGAAAACCAGCTGATCCCTAACCATCTCAAACACAGACATGTGCTTTTCACCTTAAGAACAGACAAGCATCCCGAGTTCTGAGGAGTATTACCTGGGAAGGAATCCCAGGGAGTCACTCTGGACCTACAAGAATACCTGGGAGTCACTCTGCCCTGACCTACAAGAAGCACTGCCTGAATATCAAGCAAAAAGTGGGTGCTAGAAACAATATCATATGAAAGCTGACTGGCACAACCTGGGGATCACAACCAGACATAGTGAAGACACAGAGGTGGTGGTGATGTTATTAAGCTCTACTGTAATAACCTCTATATTGTTTTCTTCAGTGTTGTGGGCATTGTTGACTTGGAGGCCTGGTTTTACAAAGACAACGCTTCCATACTGCGCATGTGGTCTTTCCACTACTAAGACCATTCCTGGAACTTTTGATCGTTTCTGTTGTTCATCCCTGTGTGTTTCTTGGACACACAGCACATCACATTTCTTATCTTGACACAGTTCATAGAGCAGTTGTTCTTTGGCAGTTGACATGCCTTCAATGTTGATGGAGATTATTGTCATGGTTGGTCCTGAAAAGGTCCGTTGATTGTTTTGCTTGCTTGTTTGCATGCTGCAAGTTGCTTCTGGTTGCTTCTGGAGCAAGAGAATCAGCCGTCTATGAAGGTGTTGCCCAGGGGACGCCCGGATGTCTTGCAATCCTGCGAGGAGGCTTCTCTCATGTCCCCCAACCAGGTAGAAATACATAATAAAATAAAATTTGATATAAATATGCAGTTTTGTTAATAGGAATATATGGTGATAGAAGAGTTAAGGACCAAGACCCAGAATTAATGATGATGATGTTTAGAGCAGCACATGCAGTAATAGCTTGGGGTTGGAAAGAAAAAAAGAAATGGACACTTGAAAATGGTATGAATATGTGTTGGACCAAATACAACTGGATATTATGGACATCACCAGAAGCAAAAAGACATGATCAGACAAACAGAAGAAAATTAAAGAAATTTGCACTCAGTTTAAAAGATGGTTACAGGTCGTTAAACCAGATGATGAAAGCTGGAAGAAAAAATTGGATAGAATCGAAAAAAGTCTCATGTAACAGGAAAAAAAGGATTACATTGTCAACAGGGAAGAGGGAGGGGTGAGTGCGGGGAGGGAAAAGGGAATGAAAAAGGACAAAATGCATGGTAATTATGGTTATGTATAATTGTTTATAAGAATAATAAAAATTGGGAAGAAAAAAACTAAGAAAGCAAACAATGTGTCATGTATCATGTCCCACAGGTATCATGTCCTTTGTTTGTGTTCCCAGTATATATCGACTCTGTGTGTCTATCTTCATTCTTCGTATCGCTCTGTGACATACTCTGCCTCATTGTGAACAAAAAAGAACCTTTAAAATGTTTTTCAAAGTTTAAAAAGTATTCATGGCAGCCTCCGCAGTGCCTTTTTTCTAACCTACAGTCTATAGAACAATGCCTTGCTGCATTCTCTACCAGGTACTGCTTTATCTAACTGAGTGTGATGTATAATTGTATACAAGAATCCAGAAAGAGATTTGCAAAGATAGAAGGATAGAATGCATGTGGTGCCTACTTCACTTTCTTTGTCTCATGTATTACCACATATACCTAAATACCCTAAAGCAGTGTTTCTCATACTCTGCTCCTCCAGGTGTTTTGGACTTCAGCTCCTAGAAATCCTAGCCAGCTTACCAGCTGTTAGGAATTGTGGGAGCTGAAGTCCAAAACATCTGGAGGAGCACAGTTTGAGAAAATCTTCCTTAAAGGCATCAGGTCCCACCTGGGAAGCTAAGCAGCTCAGCCATGTTTCACACTCACACAGGAGACAGGCAATGAATATAATTTGCTTCAAGGCATATTTTAGAGGGCGGAAGTGGTACTACCAGCTCTGAGTATTCTTTGCTTAAGAAAATCCTATGAACATCCATCCAGGCACGAGAAGTAAACATATGACTTACAGGGGTGTGCATGCACAAAGACACATGCACAAACATTATTCCTAGAGCTATTACAATCAGTCTATTCATCCGTCCATTTCATCTATGTAACGGTTTCTGGGAATACTGCATAGCATTTAATTGTGCAAACGACACCAGCATCTTTACGAGTGCAATTGTGCTTTGCCTGACATCTCAATTGACAGAAACTGAAATGCCTCTCTTTCTTGACATTCTGAAGTTAATAGCCAGATGGAGCCATTCTCCACCAAAGTGAGCTCCTCATGGGACTCCCAATGCTTCTCTGCAATCAGATTCCCTGCACACAACTCTGGCATTATTCAGATCCCATCTGTCATGGCTGCTCTGAGTCCATCAGTGACTGAGAACCTTGGTCCCTCAGGTTCACTTTGTCTGATTATAGACACCTCAACCATCCCAAAACAACAATTTGGACCATTCACATAGAAACAGAAGATAAAGACTCATCCTATCCATGTTCGCTTTTAGGATTCATTAACCCCATGCAGTCTCCAGTAAGTACAACTTGTGAAAGGCATGTACCTGAACACTCCACGCTGGCATCCTGGCTGTGGCTGCAACTGTGCTCTCCCCAGCCTCCCTTCTGGCACTCCTTCAGGAATGTTTCTTCTCCTGTACAGTTGATGCTCTCCAGCCAAATGGGGCCCGATCCTTGGCCATAGTGTGCTCCACCCAATGCTTTGGAGGCATTGCCACAGCCCAGCTGCCTGCAGACCACTTGGGCATCTTGTAAATCCCAGCCAGCATCACAAATGGTCCCCCATGTGTCATTGTGAAAGACTTCAACCCTCCCTGAGCAGGGACTTGTGCCATTCTTTAAACGGAGATCTTTTAAAAAAGAATTAAATATAGTAAAAGATTAATGGTGATTATTGACAAAAATTCTGTTGTTGGCCTTGACTAGACTAAATATATTGCAACTACATATACTTCAGCTGAGAGTAACTAACAGGAAAGCTTGGATCCAAATGGTAAAATAGAAGAATTTAGTATGGTGATTACTGGGACCTCTGTACTAGAAAGAATAATTGGAATTGATGTCTGTGAGGTAGCTAAAAGTCCTAGGTTTTGTCCTGTGCATATCATGGGCATTTCCTTTGCTTTGGGAATGCTCAAAAGAAGTTATTTCATGGCACAAGCCATAGCAAGAACTCAAGCATAAAAGGAGTTTGGATTCCATCTGAACACTAGGAAGAACTTTCTGACTGTGAGAGCTGTTCAGCAGTGGAACTCTCTGCCCCGGAGTGTAGTGGAGGCTCCTTCTTTGGAAGCTTTTAAACATAGGCTGGATGGCCATCTGTCAGGAGTGATTTGAATGCAATATTCTTGCTTCTTGGCGGGGGGTTGGACTTGAAGGCCCATGAGGTCTCTTCCAACTCTATGATTCTATGATTCTATGAAATTATTCTCTCTTTGTGACAATTTGCTTCCCTCTGAGTGGGATCACAACACTGGCAATTAAAACACCTATGTGTAAATATGATCCCAAACTGTCCATACTTGTATTTCAGGTGAGAACAGCCTTACATCCCCACAGGGAAGTACCCAATAAATATGTTAAGAAAATGAAAATGGACACGTAAATCACCTCTACCTAATTCATTTGGATGCATTCTGTTCTGGTACGGTTGTACCAGGGGCTCCAAATTCATATGCTTTGTATTAAATGCTTGTTTGCAATCCTAGGCTTGGGATTCTGCAGCAGGGTGGCTTCCTGTTGGAGTTTGCAGTTATAGGGCAGGCCCCCTGTCCATCATCGTTAAGTTTGGTTCCGCCCCCTGTTCAGGCTCTGAGAGAAGGGAAGGGAGCCATTTTCAGTCAGTTTCCAGCAAGGAAGTCAATGTGCAGGACGTGTACAGACTTTCTCCTGTACAAAGGCTTCAACCCTTAAGACTTCCCAGGGGAGAACAGTCTTAAGAGCATCTAAAGATTCCCAAAGGTTCCCAGGGAAACAGCCTTACAGCCCTGAGGAATTTTGGAGGGAATAACAGCTTTAAACATCAAGAACTCCAGCTAAATGACTACAGGCCTACTGGTAGGTTCGCTTGGTGTTGAGACGCAGTTCAGCCCGGTAGTGGATCCACATCAGTTGGGTTTAGGTTCTCAGTTAGCCTGGGAGAAATTTAGAAAGGGATTTCCCTTTGAAGTAAAGCAAAGAAACGACGGGGAAGAGGGGAAGGGGGGGGGGAGAGTGGAATAAAGAGGGGGAGGGAATATAAGACGAGAGACAAACACAACACACTATAAAAACCCAAATCCACCCCCTTTTAGGTGGAGAAGGGAGATGGTGACTTCCATTTAGTTTCCAACCAGAGTATCCTCTGTGACTTTCAGGGGATTCACTATGGATCTCCTGCCTTATCCTGCACCTTGCTGTTTAAACGACTAATTGTCCGTGTCTCTTCTATTTAACTCCTAACCCTTTTAAGATTCATATTTCTTTTTTTCATATTCATCAAAGCTAGACCAGTCCGTCTGTCTGACTGGCCTTCCAGAGCTAGATCTCATCAGGAAGGTCAGTTTGTCCATGTCTCTTATTTCCGAGATTTTGTCTAACCATTCTTCAATTTCAGGTACACAATCTTCCTTCCAGTGTCTTGCCAGTACAATTCACTGCGGTCGATAAGTACATCCATAGAATGTCTTCATTACTGCTGAGCTTGAGATCTTCATCCGTGAGCCCTAGTAAAAAATACTCCGGCTTTCTGGGAAACTTTATCTTGAGTATTTTTTGGGCTTCTTCCTGTATTCCTTGCCAAAACTTTTTCACAACTGGGCAGGTCCACCACATATAAAAATAGGTGCCTGGCTGCTCTTTACATTTCCAGCATGAGTTCTTAAACTTTTTATATATTTGGTTCAGCTTGTACGGTGTTAGGTACCATCTGTGGAAGGTTTTCAGCCAATTTTCTTTTAGCGCCGAGGAATAAGTGTATTTTAACTTTTTTCGCCATATTAGCTGCCATTCTTGTATTCTTATTGATCGTCCGATGTTTTTGGCCCAAAGAATTATGCAATTTTTAATTTCCTCTGTTTCTGTCTCCCAGGTTAATAGTTGGTTATAAAGCTTAGTGATAATTTTCTTTTCCGTTTTCAGCACTATATCCCAAGATGTCTCTTTTTCTTCAAACCCGGTCTTCTCATCTTGCTTGAATGTTTCTTGGAGCTGGAAGTATTGTAATCACGTTAGATTTTTGTAATTCAGGGTCAGTTCTTCCTGTGGTTTCAGATTCCACGAGTTGTTATCTTTGTTTTTAACCAGTATGTCTTTGTAAATTGGCCACTGCTGCCAGCCTAACAAGAATCTTTGTTTCGCCTCGATCGGTGAGAGCCAAAGGGGGTTTTTAGCATAAAAGTGTTTCCTGTATTTGGTCCAGATTTTGAGTAGGGTAGATCTTACAAAAAGATTACCAAAATTTCCCTCCAGTTTGGATCTGTCGTACCACAGGTACGCGTGCCAACTGACTCTTAAGTTAAACACGTCTAATGTTAGAATTTTTTCATTTTTGAGAGTGGCCCATTCCTTCACCCAGGCTAGATCACAAGCCTCGAAGTATATTTTTAAGCTTGGGAGGCCGAAGCCCCCTCTTTCTTTCCTGTCGATCATTATTCGATGTTTCATTCTGGGTTTCTTCCCGTTCCAGATGAATTTCGCTAAATCTTTGTTCCACTGTTCGAAGACTTTGCTGTTTCTTATGATGGGTAAATTTTGGAAAAGGTAGAGGAGTCTGGATGTTCATTTTGATCAGCCCGATTTTTCCGAGGAGGGAGAGATTCAGGAATTTCCAATTCGCTAAGTCTGATTTGACCTTCTTCCAGGTCGTCTCGTAGTTATTTTTAAATGGCTGAGCGTTTTTAGCCGTGAGCCAGATCCCTAGGTATTTTATTTTTTTGTTGATCGTGAATCCCGTTAGATTTTTCAGTGCATTCTGTTTGTCCGTAGCCATGTTCTTTGTTAGTATCGTTGTCTTGCTTTTATTTATTTTGAACCCTGATACATTACCATAGTCCTCTAGTGTGACTAACCATTTCTGTATGTTATTGATAGGATCTTCGATAATGCAGATGACGTCATCGGCATACGCTCTTGTCTTGTATTCCTGTTTTGCAATCTTCATTCCTTTGATGTTTTTATCCTCTTTGATTGTTTTTAAGAGGGTTTCCAGGGCCATGATGAAAAGCAGCGGGGAGAGGGGGCATCCCTGTCTGGTTCCTTTCGTGATCTTAATTTTCCCCCAGAGTTGTGAATTTATCAATAGTCTCACCGATTGATTAGAGTAAATGGAGAATATGGCGTTTTTGAATGAGTACCCTATATCTATCTCTTCTAGTAGGAGTTTCATGAATTTCCAGCTGAGGTTGTCGAAAGCTTTCTCGGCATCCAGGGATAGCAAGGCCAATTCTTTTTGAGTATTGATGTCATAGTACTCAATGGTGTCAATGACTGATCTCAAATTGTCTTTAGTGCTTCTACCTGGGAGAAAGCCCGCTTGTTCCTCACCTATCCAATCTGACAAGAAACCTTTTAACCTTTTCGCTAAAATAGCGGCAAAGATTTTGTAGTCAGAGTTCAGTAGAGATATCGGCCTATAGTTCTGTTTCTCCGTCCCTTCCGAGTTTCCTTTCTTAATTAGCACTATCTCTGCCTCCTTCCAGGAGTCTGGGATCCGGCCTGTAGTCAATGCTAGGTTCGAAATTTTATGGAAGTATGGTAGGAGTTCCTCTTTCATTGTTTTGTAAAAGCAGGTGGAAAAGCCGTCTGGTCCGGGAGCCTTATTTGCGGGCAGGTTAGAAATCGCCTCTGCTATTTCCTGTTCCGATATTTCTCTATTAAGGGCCTCTCTCTGATCATCTGTGATTTTCTCTAGTTTAAGTTTGGCTAAATAGCGTGCAATTTCAGGCTCTTGTGTGTCATCTCTATTATATAAGGTTGTATAATACTCTTGAAAATCTTCGATAATGTCTTTATCCTTCGTTAAATATCTTTCTCCATTTTTGATGTTTATTATTCGCTGTGACTGTTTTTTTTCCCCTTATTTTCCTCACCATCCACTTACCGGGCTTGTTAGCATTCTCAAATTTCTGTTGTTTTATATATTTGTACTTCTTTTCTAGGGATTCAATCTCCAGGTGGTGCTTTTTTTCTTTTTAGCCAGCGCAATTTACGCTCTATTATTCGCTTTTCTGGGTTTCTCTTTAACTCTGATTCTTTTTCGGCTATCCGTTTTTCCAGCATTTTCACCTCTACATTTTTCTTTCTGTTCTTAATTGCATTCTGCTGAATAAGGTATCCCCTCATAACCGCCTTAAGGATGTCCCACACTACTTGGGGTGATACTTCAACTGTATCGTTTAACTTTAAAAAGTCCCTTATTTGCTCTTTGTTTTTCTTAATATCGATTTCCGTTTTGAGCAAGTTGTCATTTAGTCTCCATCTTCTGGTGTCAGCTTTCTTATAAAGAACCATTACTAAGGAGCAGTGGTCTGATAAATCTCTCGCCTGTATTTGAATGTTCTCTATCTTAGATAAGAGTGAGTTTGACGCCCAAATCATGTCTATCCTTGTGATGATGTGTAACTTCTATTCTTATGGTTATGTGTTGTTTAAACAGTAGTTAATAAATTGTAAGTATGTAGGATTATATTTTGTTAGAGATGGTGGCTTGGTGTTAGCTGAGTTGCCATAGCAACAGGGGCGGAGCCAACTGCCTCTTCAGGAGGCAGCTGTTTTAAAAAGCCAGTTGTAAGCCGGTGAGCTACAGGAAGGGACTGATTTCTCTAGTGGGAGAAACAGGGAATTAGTCAGTACGCCAGTGAGTGGCTGAGAGGACTGGGTCTCTGGGTGGAGATTCAGGGAGTGTGTCTGTAGCCAGTGTGCTATAGGGAATTCTGTTAAAATAAGCCTTTTAGCTTATTTGTTATATTAGGGCAGTTGTCCAGAAGGGTTACATCTGCTTAAAGAAACTTCTTGAAGACTGTGCCTGAGATTACTCATGAAACATTACTATTGTAACCATCAAGATTTGTGCCTCTTGTGAAGAAACAGTTAAACTTATTATACTCATGTTAAAATAAACTTGTTACTGTCTTCCTCAAGCCTTGCCTGATACAGTTTCTTATAAGCTGAACAGCCTGCAATAGTGAAGTTAGCCAGAGACAGTAAACGCTATGCTATCCACTGAATAAAACCTTCTGTAATTAACAGTCCCTTTATAAAATAGCTCCTAGGTTGATATTGATCATTGCCTGGCCTCCCTCATAGATTAGGTGGCAATGGGTGTTTTACCACTCGCACCTTCACATTTGGTGGCATTCGGTGGCATTGAAACGGTCTTCTTCACAATTGGTGGCAGCAGTTTAACCACTCCTTTACAATCCTAGACCATGATTTGTGGTGGGACGAATAGAACGTATAGTCCTTTTCGTCCGGATGACAATGCCTCCATGTGTCGTGAAGATCAAATTCCTCTTTAAGCGAGATAAAATTTTTAGGGAGGGTGGAGTTACACTTATTTTTCTTGCTACTTGGGCTTTTGTCTAAGTTTTTATCCAGTATGCCGTTGAAGTCCCCCAGCATCACCAGACTGTCAAATTCTATTTTATGTAAACATTCTTTCAAATATTTGAGAAATTTGGTTTTAGGCCCGTTTGGGGCGTAGATGTTGCAGATCAGGATATCCTCACGACCCAGTTTTATTTTGACTGCCACTATCCTGCCCTCCTGGTCCTTAAACATTAGCTCTGCTGGTATGTCCTCTCTAACATAGATTACCACACTCCTTTTTTTGGACTCACGGGCCGAATAGAATTCCCTACCTATTTTCCTTTGGGTCAGGTAAGCAACATGCCTGTGAAAAATATGGGTCTCTTGAAGTGCCACAATTTGGTAATTGCCTTTATTAATTTGTTTAAATATTCTATTCCTTTTATAGGGAGAGTTGAGACCATTAACATTTAGAGAGTAACATTTTATTTGTTGATCAAGCATAGTCATGTTTATTTATATCCTCTGCGATCCCCTCTCCGATTTTGTCGTCATCCATTTCCACGGTCAGGGCCGTGGCCTGGTCAAGTTTGTCTTCTTCCTTAACAGGAGTATCTGGCCGTGGTCGCTTTCTCATGTTTCCTTTTGTCGGGGATTGTTCCAGATGCGGAATACTGCAGTCTCTCTTAATCATCAGCAGAAATTTGTTGGCCTTCTCTACATTTTTGATCCAATGTCTTCGATCTTTGAAGGTGGTCATCAGCCCTTCTGTTTTATCCCATCTAAATTTTAGATTTTGCCTCTTTAGCTCTTGAGTCAAGAAGGAATATTTCTTACGTCGGTCCAAGATTGGTTTCGGGATTTCTTTAAGCACGATGATTTTTTTTCCCTTCACGTATTAATGGGTTTTTATTAGTTTGTCTGAGCACTTCATCTCTTGTGTGTTTACGCGTGAAGCGGACCATCACGTCTCTTGCCAGCTTGTTTTGTTTTGCAAAATCGGATTGGACACGATATGTGTGGTCTACTTCTTTCTCAAGATTCTCCTCTGACAGTCCAATATGGGTTGCGAGCAGTTGGATAATTTTAGTTCTTAGATTCTCTTGGGTCTCTTCCTGGAGGTTTCTTAGTCTCAACAGATGCTCTAACTCCCCCTGCTGGATACGTTCCAGTTTATTTATTTATTTATTTATTTATTTACAGTTCTTATATTCCGCCCTTCTCACCCCGCAGGGGACTCAGGGCGGATTACAGTAAACACATATATGGCAAACATTCAATGCCAGTTTGACAAAAAACGTTTAACAGACAAATACACCGAGGCTATTTAACTTTTTTCTGGCCGCCAGGGGAGCTGCTGCTTTTCATCGTCCATCAGCGACACCGATGAAGTTCTTCCGCATTCCACATTCCCCGGAGTCTTTTTTCTTTATGGCCTCATAAATTAGTTAATTTAGCCTCCCACACAAGGTGGTACCTTATTTTCCTACTTGACAGATGCAACTGTCTTTCGGGTTGCAAAGGTCGACAACGGGCTACACAATGGCTGGACACCCACTCCAGCCCGGGCTGGCTTCGAACTCATGACCTTTTGGTCAGAGTGATCTTAATGCAGCTGACACTCAGCCAGCTGAGCCACAATCCCATCCTGTCATTTTTGGATGACATTTCGTCCAGCTCACTTTGTATTTTTCTCTGTTCTTTCCCTAGTTTTCTATTTTCAGTCTAAGTGTCATTTATTTCGGCAAAAGCCTTCGATATGTCCTTTTTTATAGTACTTATGTCTTCTTTGAATTCTCTTCTGATTGGGCCTGCTGTTTAATTTGACTCTCCCTTATAGTCTTTAGTTCTTTCTTGTTGTCTTCCTGGTTTTCTGTAATTTTTTCGGTTAATTTTTGAAGCTCTTTCCAAATATCTTTCATATTCACTTCCTCTTGTCCTGAACCTCTACTTCCTGGATTTTTGGGGTCTTTTATCTCTTTGTCTATCTTTGCTTTGGGGGTATTCATCTTGCCTTTTGTTGTCTTTTGTTGTCTATTTATTTGTTTGCTTGTTTGCTTGTTTAAGAACGGGGGAATTCCAGTCTTAACCTTCTTGCTCTCTTCTGGCTTCCCCAGGCTAATTACTGGGGTTCTGGATTGGGGTTCCCCTGTCCGTTCAGGCCTTATCCCCCTGTCGCTTTCTCCGTGCTCCTCCTTGGCTTAGGCTTGAAGATGGGTAGAAGGGGGTTGGGGTGTGTGTGGGGGGATGGGCGTCCAACATGGGAAGGAGGGGGAAAAGTCTTACCCTCTTTGAATCCCACGGGTCTTTGTCTTGGACAGGGACTGGCCATAGGTTGTCTGCTGCACTGCGGCCGGAAGGTCCCCTTTTATTGTCCGCTCTCATCCGTTTCCTCGGCCGTTCCCCGGCTGCCAGTTCCAGCCCGCGTCACTTCAAGCCGCCCGGCAGCACCGCAATTACCCTAGGAGCCACTGGTTGTGGGCTGGGGGTTCGGCGGCCCTGCTTGGGTGGCTTGGGTGGCCCTGACAGGCACACATGGAGAGGGAGTTGTTGGCTTGCTTGTCTAGTCCCGTCCATTCCACGTCACTTCCTCCCCTTGGCGTGCCGATGTCCTCCTCTTGCTATCCCGCGGCCCTGCCCACTTCCTGGGCCCGCCTCTTTCCCTCCTCTTTGGTCGTCTCACCAGGC